TAAGAATGAATGTGATGAATCAAATATTAGACTGGGATGAGGGAGTTCCTCTATTCTTATTCACAATGAGGGGAAAGTGTTGCAAGAATCGCTTGGCTTCAGTCCCGTTTGAGCTAATATTTGGCTATTCGGTCTGTCGGTCTTCTGACCGACTGAGGACCAGTATGACAAGTCAGCCGTGACAAGTTACTTTTCGTCTGGTGATATGGTCCAGATTCAGTAACAGTGTCGGGTAATACGGGCAAGATTCACGTGTCCCTTTAAGAACAGGATGAGGTAAGATAACTGAAAATATGAGGTGCAAACAGACGTCGTTCAGAGGGTATAAAACAATAAAAAATTAGCTCAAGAAGTATAATATTCCATTGTGCGCCACTGTCATCAGCACTGTAGAGACAGATTGTAATATTATTGATGCGTCTCGTGGTGTTGACGTCTGCCTGACTAATACACAGCTTCAACGCAATCTGGAACGACTAGTGTCTGTTATTATTTAATTAAAGCCAAACAAGTATCGAAATTAATTGATCATTCTCTAGACATATTTGGAGACGAGCCTTACTTATGCACACTGGGTATTTAAGATGTGGATATTTGTGATTCTTTTCGCATCACTCAGCAGTCATATCATGTGAACTCAGAGGGCAACCTCTCTCACCAGTGCACACCCTACTCAACACTGATTTAATTTAAGCAGTAATAGTCTATGGACCTCACTTGGTACTCATGAGCCTCAACCAAGCAGCAAACTGCATGTGCACAGATTACCTTAGGGTAAGTGCTGTCACTAAACCAGACAGAGAATCAATACCTAGGAGTAATGACGTGTGAGATATAAGACATATTCATGAAAACTGGATCTGATGAAAGGATTTTACTAGATTCCCTTTGACAAAGAGGACGAAATAAGAAGGGTCTGCCTTTACTACAAAGGATGGTTTCAAATAATTATAATCTAGTGGGACTCGAACCTGGACTCTTTTGGTTGTGAAGCAAGCTCTCTCAGCACTTAGGTACCGGTCACCCAGGACGATTTTCAAGAATTAGTTAATTACAATGTGTGTGTGCAATATTCATTAGAAGTGTAAGTCTTCTTCCAATCAGAAGAGAGAGCTAGTCTTTCTTCTATCAGAAGAGTGAGCAAGTCTTCCTCCCTTCAGAAGGGGAGCCCATAATCACAACAATAATCACGTACCAGGTCCGTTCCAAGGTAACAGTGAAGAGAAAGGATCTGACCCATTAGAATGTACCTATCGTAGGAGAAAGGGATACCTCGGTACGAGACACTGGTAGCTGCACAAGTACCATGACAAGGCAGCAGCTACCGCCTCAGGTATTGTACTTGCTTTGTTAGGCAGCCATTCGACTACACAAGGGTTGTTTAGACAGCATTTCACCTGTGCACTAACATCAAGAAAACTTTAATCCCTAAAATAAACATTAAACTCGTCTTTAATATACATAGAGCGACTCATGCTTTTCACTAGATGTATCCTACTTGCTATGAAGATGGTTGAGGTTGAGAAATGATAAAAATTGCTCTTAACGAGGGTCTAAGTTATATGATGACCTTCTTTGTGGAACTGTTGGTCAAGTGACCGAGGCATTCCGCTTGCTTACCAGTCTCCCAAATGAAAAAAAGCAACTGAATATCTACTGATAAAATTGTGATGGCAATTTTTCTAACCCATATAAAGAACTGAGGGACACAGAGAGTGTTTTCCTTAAAGCAATACATTTATGATACACGTGAGGATATTATCATAGGGCACCACTAGGTAAGCTTAGTGGATTCAATTAGAATCGGGTCATCACTGAATAAAGACCCGTGTCAGGAAATATTTGTTCTGTTTCCTGTTTCCAGCAGCCTCGTAGGATGCATAACGTAGAGGATATTCAGGGTGTTTCTTCTGCCAACACTGATGCCCCAAGCTTCCAGGTGTTTTGCATGCTGGAAGCAGATCCCCAACCTCTGATCTTTTTACACCTGTTGCCACTATTTACCTAGCAAACAATAGGTGCCTGATATTGCTCGCATGTCGTGCGTCGGTATGATGGAATAATAGCTTATAATTAGTCAATAAATTCAACAGTGAAAAAAAATTGCTAATGAAGGTACTGCAAAAATTCCCTATGTTTTAAGTGATATTGGTTATGGATGACGTGCAACTCATTACATATTGCATCACTCAACAGCAGATTATCTGATGATAAAAGCAAATAACTCACTGTCACCTAAGACGCACCTTAGTTCCTAGAGTAGATTAGATGGGATCGGCTAAGAAATTATTATTTCCACCTTGATATAGGTGGCCAGATGATCAGCATAGTGTGTGATGTAAATAAAATTGTAAAATAATCGAATAACTTATCAGTACCAGTACAAAATTTGGTTATTTATTTACAGCTTAGTACACGAGCAATGTTTGTAGTGGTTTTGATAAGGTATATATATATATATATATATATATATATATATATATATATATATATATATATATATATATATATATATATATATATATATATATATATATATATATATAGATCTGAATTAACTGTGGTTAGATACACCTGATGTTTCACTCGCGGGAGGCCCCGGGATGGTACTCACAAAATTACAACCGTCTTGTTTGTATATTATATCTGTAGTAAATGATAACTCGGGGCCTCCTACGAGTGAAACGCCCTGTGTGATACAATTGGAAGATCTCATGTCCATAAAATCATAAAACTTTAAATGTGACGGCTATATTTTTTTTGCACTATCTCTTACTGGAGGCACCAAATAATAAGTGTGATTAGGATTGAACAAATCATTATTATAAACCAGAACATCACAGCATAAAATAGTGAGACATCTGTGATCCAGTGAACACCAATGGAGATCACTGTGGACAAAAAACATATTCTATCTATCTATAATAGATAGATAGAACGCCAGTTTGTCAAAAGTCACAGGCACAGGGAAGGTGGAAGGGAGACAGCAATCAGGTTTGATCCAAGGAAGAAGATTTAATCCTTACTTCAATGAAGCAAAAGCCCTTCGCCAGTATTAAGGCACCTTCATGAAAGGGGTGACCCTGAAGACAAGTATCAAGTCTGAGATTGTTTGTGTTCCATCAGAGAGACCGAGGCCAGTGTGACCGCCTCAAGCTGGCTAATTTATCCATGCTAGTCAAACTTAATATTATAATTTACAATTTTCGTTGGACATGTGACTGAGGACGATGATATTGTACAAAATATTGTGCTAAGTGTATGAGAATGATGATATTGTTTATATATAATGTTATACTCTGTTCTTTAGGATGATAATATTGCACAAAATGTTATACTATGTACATGAGAATGATGATATTGTTCATATGTAATATTAAGCTGTGTCTGAAGACGATCACATTATTCTTAACGTTATATAGTCCATGGGCTCATTTGACAAATTTTAGCTAAGTGAAATGGAATAGTCTACATCTTAAGAGGATAATTTCAAGTGAGATCCATTAGACAGTGATGATAAACTATTGGATGAACAAACCCAGCACAACAAAACTGATAGTCGCAAAGCCTACTTAATCTAATAACTACAGAAACCTAGCAAATTACTGAGTAAGATTTGCTTATCAGTGGGTTTATCTGAGTTATGTTTTACTGGAACAGTTTTCATGATATAGAAAATGTGAAACTTGTTCATTACAAATCTTTTAATTTTTAAAATGTGTAATTTAAGTCCAGTAACAACCATTTAATTAAGTGAATTTAAACAATCAATATTCCTTTAGTTTTACATGGTCACCTTAAAGATAAATTTTTTCCCTTTTAGGCGTAATTTAATTAATGATTTAATCATTCATGTTAAGCGATAAACCCATGTGAGTCATTCAGCGCAACACTTGGTGGAGGCTTGATACTTCGTCTGCTGATCGTGAGACAGACACGCTTACTATTTGTACTCACTTCTAGGGTGATGGAGAGAGGTTATAACAGTCTGCAACCGACAAATCTGTTTCTCCCCGCGCCTGTGGTATGTTCCCAGGTGATGGGGAGAAGTTATAACAGCCACTTGAAACCACAAACTCTTTTCTCCCTGCTGTCAGGTGATGGGGAGACGTTATTACAGTCAGTTTGAAACCGACGAACTCATTTCTCCCCGCTCCTGTGGTATGCTTCTAGAATGATGGAGAGGTTTGAAACCGATAAACCCACATGACCTTTTAGGTGTACAAAGTCAGTGTCTCCTCTACTGTAAATGGACGGCTCACCGTAACTCTGTGATATCGTTGAGTGAGGCTTGACAGCTCTACACCTATTATCCATCCTCCAGCTGGTGACAGACTCAGCCACATCCTGCAATACATTTAATCCAATATCCGCCAAACCTAGGCCTAGGGCACTTCACAATAGGTCATACTAACCTTGGTAGCACATAATTTCCAGCCACTTGACTGCGCCTACAAAGATCTCGTCAGGAGAAATAGGTGGGAATATTGCATAGTTACACGACTGCAGTGAAGAAGGAGTTCGAGATAGCTCTTTACTGAGTCGCTCAGCTCTCAGACCACCCTTTGATTCCACCAATATGGCAGTATGCGTTTAAACTGGAGCGCTGTACTCGAGATATAAGAGTCGCTGCTAACCTTAACGTCTGCAATAAGCGTCTTACAAAGTACAGTTTCATGGGTAATAAGACTTGCACAACCCACCAGTAGTTCTTATAGCCGGTTCTTTACTTACATTAGACATCTTATGCAAGCAATTTTTACCGATATAATCTAAGATGCAATCATGTCTCTTAACTCGTTGGACATGTGTCCTTGGGTATGTCTGCAGGAAATACCCTAATGTCTCGCTCTGGCCAAAGCACCTACCAGTTCTCTACTGGCAACTACAAGCATTCTTTTGTCCATTTTCCCAACTGCATTTTTCATTATTTTCTCATTTGCGCTGAGCTCAGTGAACTGTTTAAGAGCCTCTTTTGTGTTTTTGCCTCTGGAGTTTACCTGGAGAGAGTTTCGGGGGTCAACGCCCCCGCGGCCCGGTCTGTGACCAGGCCTCCTGGTGGATCAGCGCCTGATCAACCAGGCTGTTGCTGCTGGCTGCACGCAAACCAACGTACGAGCCACAGCCCGGCTGATCAGGAACTGACTTTAGGTGCTTGTCCAGTGCCAGCTTGAAGACTGCCAGGGGTCTGTTGGTAATCCCCCTTATGTGTGCTGGGAGGCAGTTGAACAGTCTCGGGCCCCTGACACTTATTGTATGGTCTCTTAACGTGCTAGTGACACCCCTGCTTTTCATTGGGGGGATGGTGCATCGTCTGCCAAGTCTTTTGCTTTCGTAGTGAGTGATTTTCGTGTGCAAGTTCGGTACTAGTCCCTCTAGGATTTTCCAGGTGTATATAATCATGTATCTCTCCCTCCTGCGTTCCAGGGAATACAGGTTTAGAAACCTCAAGCGCTCCCAGTAATTGAGGTGTTTTATCTCCGTTATGCGCGCCGTGAAAGTTCTCTGTACATTTTCTAGGTCGGCAATTTCACCTGCCTTGAAAGGTGCTGTTAGAGTGCAGCAATATTCCAGCCTAGATAGAACAAGTGACCTGAAGAGTGTCATCATGGGCTTGGCCTCCCTAGTTTTGAAGGTTCTCATTATCCATCCTGTCATTTTTCTAGCAGATGCGATTGATACAATGTTATGGTCCTTGAAGGTGAGATCCTCCGACATAATCACTCCCAGGTCTTTGACGTTGGTGTTTCGCTCTATTTTGTGGCCAGAATTTGTTTTGTACTCTGATGAAGATTTAATTTCCTCATGTTTACCATATCTGAGTAATTGAAATTTCTCATCGTTGAACTTCATATTGTTTTCTGCAGCCCACTGAAAGATTTGGTTGATGTCCGCCTGGAGACTTGCAGTGTCTGCAATGGAAGACACTGTCATGCAGATTCGGGTGTCATCTGCAAAGGAAGACACGGTGCTGTGGCTGACATCCTAGTCTATGTCGGATATGAGGATGAGGAACAAGATGGGAGCTAGTACTGTGCCTTGTGGAACAGAGCTTTTCACCGTAGCTGCCTCGGACTTTACTCTGTTGACGACTACTCTCTGTGTTCTGTTAGTGAGGAAATTATAGATCCATCGACCGACTTTTCCTGTTATTCCTTTAGCGCGCATTTTGTGCGCTATTACGCCATGGTCACACTTGTCGAAGGCTTTTGCAAAGTCTGTATATATTACATCTGCATTCTTTTTGTCTTCTAGTGCATTTAGGACCTTGTCGTAGTGATCCAGTAGTTGAGACAGACAGGAGCGACCTGTTCTAAACCCATGTTGCCCTGGGTTGTGTAACTGATGGGTTTCTAGATGGGTGGTGATCTTGCTTCTTAGGACCCTTTCAAAGATTTTTATGATATGGGATGTTAGTGCTATTGGTCTGTAGTTCTTTGCTGTTGCTTTACTGCCCCCTTTGTGGAGTGGGGCTATGTCTGTTGTTTTTAGTAACTGAGGGACGACCCCCGTGTCCATGCTCCCTCTCCATAGGATGGAAAAGGCTCGTGATAGGGGCTTCTTGCAGTTCTTGATGAACACAGAGTTCCATGAGTCTGGCCCTGGGGCAGAGTGCATGGGCATGTCATTTATCGCCTGTTCGAAGTCATTTGGCGTCAGGATAACATCGGATAGGCTTGTGTTAATCAAATTTTGTGGCTCTCTCATAAAAAATTCATTTTGATCTTCGACTCTCAGTCTGGTTAGCGGCTTGCTAAAAACTGAGTCATATTGGGACTTGAGTAGCTCACTCATTTCCTTGCTGTCATCTGTGTAGGACCCATCTTGTTTAAGTAGGGGCCCAATACTGGGCGTTGTTCTCGATTTTGATTTGGCATAGGAGAAGAAATACTTTGGGTTTCTTTCGATTTCATTTATAGCTTTTAGTTCTTCCCGCCGATTCCTGACTCCTAAAGGATTCTTTTAGCTTAAGTTCGATGCTTGCTATTTCTCTGACCAGTGTCTCCCTGCGCATTTCAGATATATTGACCTCTTTTAGCAGCTCTGTTATTCTTTTCCGTCGCCTGTAAAGGGAGCGCCTGTCTCTTTCTATTTTACATCTACTCCTCCTTTTTCTTAGAGGAATAAGCCTTGTGCATACATCGAGTGCCACCGAGTTAATCTGTTCTAGGCATAAGTTTGGGTCTGTGTTGCTTAGTATATCTTCCCAGCTTATATCGGTTAGGACTTGGTTTACTTGGTCCCACTTTATGTTTTTGTTATTGAAGTTGAATTTGGTGAATGCTCCCTCGTGACTAGTCTCATTTTGTCGGTCTGGGGCTCCTCGCATACATGTCTGAACCTCAATTATGTTGTGATCTGAGTATATTGTTTTTGATATGGTGACATTTCTTATCAGATCATCATTGTTAGTGAATATGAGGTCTAGTGTATTCTCCAGTCTAGTAGGCTCTATTATTTGCTGGTTTAAATTGAATTTTGTGCAGAGATTTAAAAGCTCGTGTGAGTGTGAGTTTTCATCAGAGCTGCCTCCTGGTGTTATTACTGCAACAATATTATTTGCTATATTCCTCCATTTTAGGTGCCTTAAGTTGAAATCCCCCAGGAGCAAGATGTTGGGTGCAGGAGCTGGAAGATTTTCCAGACAGTGGTCAATTTTTAACAGCTGTTCCTGGAATTGCTGGGATGTTGCATCCGGAGGCTTGTAGACTACCACAATGACTAGGTTTTGGTTCTCGACCTTTACTGCTAAAACTTCCACTACGTCATTTGAGGCATTAAGCAGTTCTGTGCAAACAAGTGACTCTGCAATGTACAGGCCAACCCCCCCCCTTTTGCCTGTTCACTCTGTCACATCTGTATAGGTTGTAACCTGGGATCCATATTTCATTGTCCAAGTGATCCTTTATGTGGGTCTCAGTGAAAGCCGCGAACATTGCCTTTGCCTCTGCAAGCAGTCCACGGATGAAAGGTATTTTGTTGTTTGTTGCTGGCTTTAGACCCTGTATATTTGCAAAGAAGAATGTTATCGGACTGGTGGTATTGTTGGTACTGGGGGGGGATTTTTTTTCCGGCATTAGTATCTGTATCTGTTGGTTTGGAGTGGAGGCCATCGACTGTGGTTCCACTCCAGGAATGACTGGATTTGGTGTACGATTTCTGCCATTTCCTGCCAGTTTTTTTTCCTTCCTGGCACTAAAAAACCTCTCCCTCTTGAGTGGCTGTGGCTACCCAGGTTTTCCCATGGCCTGGATGTTTTGTATCTTTTTGTCCCCTTTAGATGGTATGCCTGGCAATTTAAGTTATAGCACAGTCTTTCCTGTACTGAAGAGGTACACATTTCAGGGTGAAAAAGCTTACAGGAAGGGAGTTTGCATTTTCCTGTTGTCATATGGGGATGGCATTTTCTAGGGTGGTCATAGTTGCACGTCCCATCTGTTTTTCCAGATTTCCCATGTCTGCAGATACCAAGTGCATAGTATGTGCACAGGCTTGGTTTCCGTTTGCCTTGGGTTTCTGTGACTGTATTCCCTGTTGGTGCATGTTTCCCTGTCTTACTTCTATCCTCCCTAGCACCAACAATGGAGCTCCCACCAGTTGTTTTTGGTAATTTATCCTCACTATTGCTATTGGAGTCCTCTCAAGGACATTTTTTTTTTTTTTTTAAAGATGTACTTTGCCTCAGCCTTTGGATTGTTGTGGGCTGTGCCATGCTGACTATTTTGAAACTTCTGATTACTTTCACCTGTGGGATATTCCTTGTCAATTATATGGTCAAGTATCTTCATCATGGTTAAGATATTTCGAGATCTCGTGGTGAGCCATATGTAGTGTATCACTGTCTGGCAAGTTCTTTCTTTAACCTATGATAGCAGCATGACCTCTGACTTCAGCAGCTCTCAGGAGGGTTTTCCAGGAGTCTATTCTTTTCGGTGATACCAAGTTTGCGACTTGAACTGAGGTGAACAATATATTAGACAATCCCTGCTTACCTTTTTCATCTGTATCCTGCGATGCCCTGCCTCAAGAACGAGTTACGTTTAAATAGTAATATCCTTAACCTACAAATATAGAATTAATTTAAAGATATTAATGAGATGATCTAATTGTATGTATTTTGTGCTAAAATCATACGAACAGTAAAGTCTTACTAAAATTTATTTACTTAATTTCGCAATGGAGGAACTTCTTGTGTGTTTACCCCAACTGTATTGACACTATATGCATGATATGCTTTTAAGTTGTTCTCTTGCTTCACAAAATTAGAAATTTTCATGACTTCAGAGCTTTCAAATGATTTTACTCTTGCTAATCTTAACTAAAATGATTTCTCTAAATGGGACGGACGCAAATGTTCACCAATCCATAAGATGTCAATAACTCTCTCTGAAAATCAACATTAGGATCTTCAACCTCTAAAATCTGAAAATAAAAGCCTATTGAAATATAATATAATTGTCTCTATAACCATTCAGATCGCGTATATGATCAATTTCCAGACGAAGTTTGAGAAACCAGACAATGACACCAGATGAAAACAGTGACATAGCACGGAAATTTAATAAGTATAAAGTATCATGTAACGAAACTCTAGCTCATTTGCAAATGTATCATTGGTACCTGAAAGGTACCAAAGGTACCATCACAGTTCATCCAAGAACTATGGTATTGTACATAATGTTATGCTATGTAGCTGAGGACGATGATTGTGCGAGAGAGAAGCTTTAAATGAATAATAACTCTTCTGAGAAGGAAATAATGATCTGACTCCTGGCTGCAACAGACTCCAGGAAGGTTGTACCTTTGATCTCAACTTCGGTCTTGGAAAAGTAATTAGGAAAGTGACAGTTATTGTGAGGGGTGACTCGCCTAACATGTGTAACATTAGGCTGAATGTTATCACTGATGGTTTAGTGAATGCGAAGGAAGGTAGACTTAGCCCTGATACCTGTATAGCAGGATCTACCTAATGTTGGTCAGTAGACCTGCAGTGCTCCTTTCTTCAGCTGTTCTTAAGAGTTGAAAATTACTGTTTTTTTTCAGAAGAATTGAAGTTAGTAATCAGATTTCTTCAAGATAAAGCTCTATGCGGTAGCTCTGTATAACAAAATGTGTCTTGTAAGACATATGCTTAGTGATTACTCAGTGCTAACTGAAGCAGCAACGTCTGGACAAACTTTACCTCCAGATGACGGAGGAAGAGAAGAAGCTAAGAGAGAAAAATGGCAACTGAAGAGAAAAAAGAGAAGATTCATACCAAACTTCACGAAAACGAGGACGGCAAAGGAAGCAGTTGGACGATGATGAAGAGGAAAAACACTGAACTCGAGATTAAAAAGGAGTGAAGGAGCTAGAAACTAACTCGTTTCGAAACTGCTAACTCGTTTGGCTTCATTTCAAGAGCGGAGAAATGTTTGCCAAATACCACATACAAGGATTTAAATTATTCCATACTGACAGAGGCAATAAGCAAGGAAATGCAGTAGAGTTATATGTGTCAGAGAGCAATGCTTCAAAAATTATGTAAAGTCTGGAGAAACTACACTGTTTCATGATTGTTGCAACTTTCTGAAGGAAACGAAAAATCTGATCAGATACGTGCAATATCGTCTTCCAAACTGAGAAAGTATCCAAGGGACACTTTGCGACTTCAAGATTATAATTTTAGCCAAACTGACTGGAATTCTTGGACCGGAAAATTTAGTCAAGCGATAATTAGTTTGTAACGGGAAATAACCTGGGAGACGCTTGTCAACATTTCGGAGATCACAGAGCAACTTGTCATAAGCGATCGCACATCTCTTACTCATTACTGTTGGGAAGGATGATGGTTCTTTTCCGGAGATTTGTCAAGCTTGTAGGTGTTGATAATTCTCTGATCTGCACGCTGTTATATACTTTATTTCCATTCTTTTTTTGCCTCTGTATTGAACTGGCAAAGTCTCTGGTGGGCGAAATTATTCCTTAATTAATATAGCTACCTCACATTACATAGATGTCTCTTTTAATTTGTTAGCATTATGTTATTTGTGACTTATTCTTCACTGGTTCTACCTGGAAAAAAGAAGTTTTTTTAGATGATTAACCCAGGAGAGTCGCTTGATGCGGCTCACAGCAACCGCCAAACTTCTAAGTAACTATATACTGCTCACAGACCTGCGAAGCAGGAAAAGTATGTTGATGTTTAGTGCTATCAGAATGAGCAATGCGCCAGCAGCGCTGTAGAGTTAGTCTGTGCAAGGATTGCAAAGAATTTGCCGTCACCAAACACCTAACAAGCGCCTAGGTATTGGAAACTATCCCAGCAGTGAGCTGGACGCTCTACTTCTGAACTACGAGGTACCACATGTGTTAGCAGAGTTACCCATACATCTCTCTCCGTCTGGGATTAAACTTACCCATTTACAAGGTGTAATGTACTAATATTTGATAAAACCGTAACCCAATTAATGACAATGTTTCTTAGTAGTAATAAGATAACTGAATTTTCTTAAGATTGTATTTTCTGTATGGTAAAGACCCATTGTGACATTTGTGATGATCGTACTTCTTTGCCCAACCTCTTACAGGAAGAGCACGGAAAGAGAAGGAAGGTCGAGGGATGCACAATAAACTAGCCATTTAGGCGGTACAACTAAACTATTTAAAAGCTTCGTGAAAATAATTACGCAATTTGTGCAGAATTGCAATTTAAG